TGACCCCAGGCTCAGCACTCTAAGCACTGAACCACCTAGCTGCCCTACCACCCTGGTTATTCTCCTCTGGATGCTCTCACTTTCTTATTGTCCTTCTTAAAATGTGGTATGTATGCAGCAATCTTCTGAATAGGCAGAACTATCATTTGCTTGTTCCTGACATTTATGACTTTCTTAATTCAGGCTTAGGTCACATTAGCTTTCATGGATGTCATATTAAGACTGCCTACCAATATATACAGAGTGAGAGTCAATGTGGTATAATGCAGGGGCTCTTAAACTATGATTTCTAAACTTGTTATTTTAATATTTTGATAATATAATAAGATAATATTATATATAATATAATATATAACAACTTTATACAACACAATATATTAATAATATATAACATAGTGTTACATTAATATTATATAACATCATATATTAATATGTAACATAATATTATGTTAATATTATATAACAATGCTATGTTAATATTATTAACATAATATATAACAATGTTATATTAATATTATTAACATAATATATTAATAATATTATATAACAATGTTATGTTAATAATATTATATAACAATGTTATGTTAATATTATTATTAACATAATATATTAATAATATTATATATCAATGTTATGCTAATATATGACATAATAGATTAATAATATTATATAACAATGCTATGTTAATAATATATAACATAATGTGTTTATAATATAACAATATTATTTCCACATAATTGGTTTCCTTTATAATCCTATATATTTTATTATATACATTTAAAAACATTATTCTGAGAAAGGTTCATAGGCTTCACCAGACTGGCAAAGGGGCCTATGAAACAAGGAAAAGTTAAGAACCTCTGGAGGGATGGAAAGCTGGCCTTGGTGCCATGAAGACTTGACTGTGTGACACTGGACAAATCACTTAACCTCTCAGTGCGCCCGGGCAACTCTCTAAGACTCTAAGCCCAAGAACTGGTTCTGATCAACAATGGTAGGGGAAATTGATGCATTAGGATTTCCCCATAACAATGAAATCAAAGGTCCAGTCCAAAAATAAATAAAGTTTATTCACAATAATAAGTTGAGTGCTGTGGCAGCTGAGAGAAGGGGTATGGATACAGCCTTGTTCTGTTGGGGCCCGGGTCTTTCCTCCCCTTGTCTTTACTATGGTGAGTGTGAATCATGGGATTCCCACAGGAGAGCTGGAAGGGGACTTGGGAAGTCACGTCAATCCACTCCCTTCATTTTACAGATGAGGCAGCTGAGGCCCTGAGCGTTTAAGTGATTTGCCCAGGGCCACCTAGGTGGTGTCAAAGGGGGCATATGAAACCAGGTCATCTGACTGTTGAGCCGGTATTCTTAGCTCTCTCTTTACTGCCTCCCTTCCCTGTGGGTGTTTGTGGGTTTCTGTCTCTTTCTGGGGTGCAGTCATGGTGCTGCTCCATAGGACACACACATTTTGTGCTAAATGTTGAAGAGTAATCCATGGTGAAATTGAAACATGCTGATTAATCCCCCCCCAAAAAATATGTCATCTCTACCTTCATTGAAAGAAGTAGAGCTCTAGCTGTGTGACCCTGGGCAAGTCACTTAACCTTGATCATCTCACCAAAAAGCAAAGGAAAAAAAAAAAAGAAGTAGAGCTAAGGAAGGAACTCTCCATGCTGTATTAAAGACTGCCCTTTCCACCAGTCTATTCACTCCTTGTTGTTGTGCAATTGTTGTTGACTCTTTGTGACCTCCATTTGGGGTTTTCTTGGTAAAGATACTAGAGTGGTTTGCTATTGCCTTCTCCCACTCATTTTACAGATGAGGAAGGGGACAAAGAGGTTTAAGTAACTTGCCCAGGGTCACACAGCTATTAAGTGTCTGAGACCAGATTTGAATTCGTGAAGGTGAGTCTTCTTGGCTCTAGGCCCAGCACTGTATTCACTGAACCTCCTAGCTGCCCTTTAGAAAAAGAGACAGAGAGAGAGAGAGAGAGAGAATTTTTGTTGTTCTTTTCCAACTTTCTGTGACCCCATTTTGGGATTTTCTTAGCAAAGATACTGGAATGGTTTACCATTTCCTTCTCCAGCTCATTTTACAGATGAGGAAGCTGAGGCAAAGTTAGGAAATTCACCCAAGGTCACACAGCTAGTAAGTATTTGAAGCCGGATTTGAACTTGGAAAGATGAGTCTTCCTAATTCCAAGCCCAATGCTCTATCCACTGTACCACCTAAGCCATCCCCTTAAAGTTCCCCAAATCTGTCTTTCCCCACCTAGCTGCACACCTCTCTCAAAGGTTATTCAATGAATATTTTAAATGTTGATTTAACATAATATAGTGCATATGAATATATGTACATGCATATATAGTTGTGTTCTTTGGAGGCCTCTTGCATGTCCTTTTCAAATCCTTTGTAACTTTGATAAGCCTAAATAGCATCCTTCAGATTCTATCGCTTAGCTGCCTTGCCTTCTAAGTCATTTTGCAGTGCAGGGACAATTTTATCTGTTCTCATCTCAGCATGGTGAAGTTATAAATAAATGTAGGCACTAAATGATCAAATGAAATATAGAGATAACCAACCTTGCTTGCAGTGGAAGAGCAGATAAGAAAATAGATTAAAAGTTATGTAATTTTAATTGAGCAGTAAAATGACAGGAGCTAAATATGATGCTGATCTGTCTCTGTTTTGATATTAATTTGGCTGATTTCTCCCAGCCTGGGGGTCATTTTTTAGTAGTGAGTGTAAGTATGGAGAATAAATAAACTATCTCCCATTTCTCCACTACCTTCCCTCTCCCCTACTTTCTGCCATTGCTCTGAGTTACCCTACCTTCCATATTTCTGTAAAAGTGTGAGTATACCTCCCTGCCTCAAACTTACATTCTCCATCCAGAAGCATATAAACTAATGAGGGCAGGTGCTTTCTATTGTCTTTGTATCTCCCAGATCTTAGGGCAATGCTTATAAGCACTTAATAAATGTTTGTTGAACTGAATTGAAATTGTATTAGGCCCTGTCTTTTCCTTCTTTTAATAGCTGAGTGGGCTTTTCCCCCCACCATCTAACTCCCTATTAAATTCATTCTTCAGAATTTAATCCATGTGTCCTCAATTCTGCATTGATTGAATTCTTAGACTTGGTCTATGAACTCTTGTAGCCTTTTGGGTTACTCCAAGATTGTTTGGAGCCTTTTGTCTGGGAGTTTTTGGATTTGTCAACATCGTGGGTTTCAGTTTAGAGGCTCCTGAAGGCCGAGTATGATGGCTGTTTGAGTCAATTTGTATAGTGCCCAAAATATTACAGACCTCAACATTTGATTAAAAAAAAATTTTAATGGAAATTATAGTGAGAGTTGATACCATGAGCTCACCCAAGCTTCACAACAATCCCATCAAGTAGCTAAAATTACTTGAACCCCAGATTACAAATGAGGAAATAGGAGTCTACCAAGTAAAAAATTATTTATCCAATTAGTATCAGAGTCCACACTAGAACCAAGATCTCATGATCTTTCATCTGGGGTTCTTTGAGGCCATCATTACATTACTCAACCAGCAATGGAGGGCAGTGAGGCATGTGATTTCTCCCTAAGGATCCTTGAGGCAGAGATGCAGATGCCCTCATGCATGGAAAGTAAGAGAACAGTTCTTGGACCCAGCCTTGGAGAGGTAGTAGTATAACCTCCTAGCTCCAGAGATAGTAACCATGGAAAGGAGCATCATGAGGTCAAGGGGTGAAAGTTCAGCTTTCTGTGGGGAGATTTCCTGGACAGTCACAGCCCGGGGTTGCCATGCTGGCAACCGTCAGCTCAAAAGTTCTGAAATTTTGCCTTCTAGAGAAAGAAGGAATGTTCTTGATCAGCACCAGTCTCTTGGGGAAAAAATACTCAAACCTCTATTCCTCAAGGTCTCCTTCTCTTCTCAACCCCCCATTACCTCTGAGCTACAGGAGTAATGTTGCTTTTCATAAAGATTCCAAACAGGCTCTGCATTATACTCCTGTAATGCTCTTTTCCTGGTAATAATGCCATATGCCCCATTTATTCATTCAACATTCATTCATTCATTTGTTCATTTTTGAGTACCTATTCTGGGCCAGACTCTGCTAGATGCTAGAGACACAAAGAAAGAAAATGAAATTCTTCTTGTCCTCAGGGTGCTTACATTCTGCTGGAGAAGGAAAAAATGTTTCTACAGATAAGTAAATTAAATAACTACAGATTAAATACAAAATAATCTGGGGCAGCTAGATAGCTCAGTGGATACAGCATTGGGCCTGAAGACCTGAATTCAAATCTAGCCTCAGACACTTACTAGCTATGATCTTTGGCAAGTCACTTAACCTCTGCTTTCCTCAATCCAATGGAGAAAGAAATGGCAAACTACTCCAGTATCTTTGCCAAGAAAACCCCAAATGGAGTCATGAAAAGTTGGACAGAACTGAAATGACTGAACAACAACAATTTGGGATGGGGCGGGATCTCCTGTTGGAAGGAAGTGGCACATGAGCTAAGCCACAAAAGAAACCAGGGATGCTAAGGGGAGAAGCTAGGAGGGAAGTCTTTGCAGGCCTCGGGTAATTATCTGTGAAAAAAAGCACAGACACGGGCACAAATCTGGTGGTATTTTATGTTGCGGGCAGCCATCTTAAAATAATAGCCAACATTTACATAGCCCTTTAAGGTTTGCAAAGTAATTTACTTAGGTTACCTCCCTTGAGCCTGTGAAGTATGTGTTATTATTATCCTCATTTTACAGATATGGAAACTGAGGCTGAAACGGAAGAAGAGACCCAGAGTCATACAACTAGCAAGTGTCTGAGGTAGGATTCGAAGCCAGACCTTCCTGACTCAAAGTCTGACACTGAATTAATTGCGTCACTTAGCTGCCTAAAAGCTAAGGCTGTGCTAGGCCAGAGGTTCTTGATTTGGGGCCCATGAATTTGATTGTATTTTTAAAAATATTTTTATAACTATATTTCAATAAAATTTGTAATGCTATGTCTTTTATTTTTATTCTGAGAAGAGGTTCATAGGCTTCACTAAACTGCCAAAGGTGTCCATGAAACAGAGCAGGTTAATAATCCCAGTACTGGGCCATGGTCCTCACTAAGCCAGCACAGAGTCTCCTTCCTGGTTGTTACTGTTTGTTTCTGAAGAGGTTTTTCCAGTAGAGGAAAAGGATGCTGAAATTCTGGGCTTAAAAATCCTGAGGAACTGTTTCTTATAGGCTTGGGATGCAAAGAAGTAAATTATGGGGTCAATACAACAGTTCATGTTCATAAAACATACCGTGACTTGAAGAGAAACCTTAAAAGCCTTCTGCTCAGTGCAGGTAGACTGATAAAGCAGTCCTTTAATCACAAACTGGATAATATTGAAGTGGTAAGGACTAAAGCATATAATCACTGCCATCAGCACCAGCAGAATAACTAGACACGCCTTCTTACGGTGACCCTTCTTGCTCCTCACTGAGTTTTCTTGAGCTATCCTGCATAGCTTTAAGGTGATTTTCACATAACAAAATAACATGATCCCCACTGGCCCAAAAAAGCCTAGAGCACAGCCCCCCAGGAGTAGAAGGGGCAGACTGAGAATCCTTTCAACACTGGTGTACTCCATGCAGCTCAACTTATCTCCTATCTTCTTGGTCAAGGGCAGAAAGAGCAATGGAATTGTCTGCAAGGATGCCAACCCCCAGACCACTACAGAGATGTTCTTTGCCCAGCCAGCATGGCGGAATTTGTGACTCTGGTTAGCATGGACCACAGCAATATAGCGGTCAATGCTTATACATGTCATGAGGTAGACACTTCCGTAGGTGTTCATGTAGAACATAAATGCTGTCATCCTACAGAACCAGTCACTAAAAGGCCAGTTGAAGTCTAAGATATAATAGGTTATCCTTCCTGGCAGAGCCAGGGTAAAAAGGACATCAGACACAGCCAAGTTGATCAAGTAGAGATCTGTTGAGTTCATCTTCTTCTTTTGAGAGGTGATGTAGATGGCAAAAATGTTCCCAAAGGCACCAATGACCAAAAGGACCATGTAGAATACTGACAGAACCACTCTTGTGGCCAAGGAGGGTTGGTGAATGGAGCAGAGACTATCGTTGAGTGGGAAGTTACTTGTGTTCACCAAACTGGAAGCCATTGGATGCAGGTCGTCAGAGAAGAAATTTTGCTGAAAAAACACAAATTTTTTTTTAAATCTTTAGAGTAGAAAAACATTTAAATCTATTACCTCATTCCTCTTTGTTAACATTGATTTCTTTTACAGAATTCCATTTTGATCAACTGTGTTCTGTTCATTAAATGCCTCAAAGAATGAATGAAAAGGCAGATACAAATACAAAAAATACACAAATATAAAAAGAAGATAGTCCCTGCTCTCAAAGAGCTCACACTCTAATTGAAGGAGGTAACACACATAGGAGCCATAGTGCATATGGTAAGACCCAAACCAATTCTAAACTATAAGAGATAAGAACAGGCAGGAATAAACAAACTCCTACACAGTGAGTAAAGATAGACATTATTATCCCTGTTTTACAGATGGGGAAACTAAGGTATCAAAAGCGTTTTGGTTTTTTGTTTTATTTTGTATTTTTGATTCTCATGGTTCTAGAACTACTTGCACCTTTACTGTTTGGTGCAGTAACCAAATGAGCTCCAGGTTGGAAAGTGACCATAACCTTGGCCCTACACAGTAGTAAGAACATGATTATTGCTGTTCTTTCAAGATGACGTGACCCCCAAATCTCTTAATCAGATGAGAATGCTACTGCTGATGACATTAGTTCTAGAAATTGTAGGACTTTCTCTAGAAACCTCTTCAATTTACCACAGTGCTAATGGTCACTTTCATAGAAATGAAGCATGTGGCATTGTTACCAGGAAAAGAACATTACAGGAGTATAATGGAGAGCCTGGTTAGAATAGCATGGTGCTTGGCACATAGTTAAGTGCTACATAAATGTTAGCTATTATTATTATACTAATTGTATAGAAGAATATATTATATATAATATAATGTTACATATAAAATATAATGCTATTTGTTATTGTTATCATTATAATGGTAAATGTTATTGTTATCATTATCCAAATTCCTTAGCTTGTCATCACCCTATATTTACTCCCAAACTCTATGTCCCACCTTGATGCTTTTGCCTATCTTGTTCACCAACTTCCACAATGCCCTCTCTTCCCAATCCCCAACAATCCTTCAAGTCTCAGATCAAATGCCAGCTCCTCTGTTAAACCTTCCCTTGTAACCCTCATGCCAGGAGTTTTCCTTGTCAAGAAATCCTTTAGTCTTTTGGCGGAGAATATTGACCCCTTCTCAGAGTAATGTTTTTAAACGCAAAAAGTAAAATATAATAGGTTATAAGGGAAACTAGTTATATTAAAATAAAATTGTTGAAACATTTAAAACAAACAAAAATCAGTTTATAGACCCCATGTTACAAACCCCTTTCCTGGTCTAAAATGACCTTTCTAACTGCTTCTCATTTTCTAATATCTTAATGGCTCATGTATGGGTCTGACATAGCTTCTTCACTAGAGTCCTCATCATGGTGTGGAGCTGACCTTGTGCCCTCAAAAACCAACAAAGCAGAGCAGAAAGCCGTGACAAGTCCTAGCAAGATAAAATCCTTCAAATATGGGTGCATTGATGAGATATCTGGTCTTAGGCTAAAGACCAAACTAAGTTCTTAGAAGCTCAGCATCAAATTGAATGGAGGGTGACTAATTTTTTCAGCTAATTCTGGAAGACCCAGTTAGAATGTATAGCTGCAGATAGAGTAACAAGGAAAATGGCAGGGCCTATCAAGATGTAAACCCCATGAGATAAGAGATTTGATCTGGTCCTGAGTGGGAGTATTGAAAAGCTGATAGAGTACTTGAAATCAAGAAAACCTGGGTTCAAATCCTACTTTGGACACATACAGGTGTCTGATCTTGGTTAAGTCACTTAAACTTTAAGTGCCCCAGGTTACTCCCTAAGACTATAAGGTACAGATGATTTGCTTTTTTTTTTTTAATAAAAAAACAATTATTAAGTGCTTCCTATGTGCCAGGCAGTGGAGACACAATAGAAACAGATAGACAGAATCTATTAAGGAATAGTTCAATGGCATCATCACCTCCCTCACTCTGGATACTACTTTTATTAGCGTAAAACCCCCTTACCATTATGACTGCCTTGTCACTCTGTTAACTCATATTGACCCCTAGATCTTTATAGATGACTCACCGAGGCAGATGGAGCAGCAATACCTGGGTTCAAATCCTAGCTGGCCATGAGACCCTGGACAGATCTCTCAACTTCTCAGTGCCCCAGGAAACTCTCTAAGACTATATAAGGTACAGGTGGACTTGTCAATGCAAATAAAGTCCATGCAATTGAAAAGACCTGGATTCAAATCCTGCCTGTAACCATGAACAAGTAATACCAGTCATTTAACTTCTCAGTGCCCCGAGACAACTCAGCTATATCAATCAGTAGATGGAGTTTCCACACCAGGAGCTCCCTTTACAGATGCAGTCACAGGTCTGGACATATTTATCTTTAATCCCCCCTAGTATCCAGGACAGTGCATTGTACTACCAAGAGGTTCATTACTGTTTGTTGAGTGAATGGAGTGAGCAAAAAAAATGTACATGAAATGTCACCATATTAGTAGATAGTCTATTTTGTTTAAAGGGCAAGGCTCTCTCCCTCCTGCCTATTGTCCTGTTAAATTCTGTAGTTCTGAAACACAAACCAGCATAGGGATAAACTGCATTAAAGAGTCCTCCCTATTCTGTGCAAGAGAATAGGCCGGGGTGAAAACGGGCAGAAGTGGCTGCCAGGCCCTGAGCTAGCACCTATGTTGATCTCTTAGCAGACATAGAGCCACATCAGCAACCACAGCTCTCTGCTAATGTTTCCCTTTGAGTCCTACTTGAAGTCCTGATGCTGGCACAGTCCTCAGTTTTCAACTCACCTCAAAGACCCAAGGGAAAGAGACAAGGAAGCCAGCTGTACTTGGTCCAGTCAGCCTCTTGCTCTCTAATGTGACCCAGAAGAAGTGATGGAAGCTTGCTTCAAGGTATGTGCCCTCGAGCAAGAACTCAGGGTACCTGCCACCCACACTAAGTGCCATGCTCCTCCTCCACTGAGCTTACACCCCTGGAGGGGGAAAAAAGGTATCAGCCAACATGATCTTCATAGCTCCAGCTCCCAGCTAAAAACAGGATGCCTTTGTGAACCTCCCACCAACCCGCAGCTGGATCCAGAAAAAGATCAAAAGATTCTTTCTTTTCTTTTTTCTTTCTTTTTTTCTTCCTTCCTTTCTTTTTCTCTCTCTTTCTCTTTCTCCCTTCCTTTCTTGCTCCATTTTTTTCTCATGTTCCCTGAAGGCTGGGATTTAAACTATAAATGTGATTATCAAAAAGCCTGCTTTGTAAACCCACCAGAGTCAGGAAATTCAAAAGCCTCTACCTTTCCCCCACTGACTGTGAACGATGTGCTGTGTAAAGCAGTGAGCACCGTCCAGGGACATCTCCACTTGCTCAGATGACATAGGCTAAGGGTGAGTGGAGACTCAGCCTGGGCTGTGTCTGACTTTCTGGGATTTGGGGATCCTGGGAAGGAGCCTTAATGGCTCCTGAACAACTCCATTTGCAGCTCAGAAAGCTAGGGAGCCAAAAGCACTCTGCAGAGAATGCACTAGCCCAGCTTGATTACAAATGAGAGGCAATGCCTCTTTCCCAGCAGGAAGAAGCAGGAGACTACCATAGCCAGTTCCCCAGCTTGGCTCCCCTCTCTGATTTCCCACAGTAAGATGTTGCCTTCTACACATCTGGAAAATAAATGAGCCGCCCCAACCATTCCTTGATTAAGACTCTTGCTTCATGAAGCAGCTAAACCATCACCAAGCTCTGAATTCTTGTGTTTTCTATCTGACTTCCACTGGAATGGAGCATCTGACAGTTCCATCTTCTAGCGGATTACCTGGAACGTGTTTTTATTTTTAAATGTTTTGTCCCAGGCACGGTCCTATCCCTACCTCAGTTTCCCCATTAAAAATATAGTTCCTGATCCTTTCCTACTCATCTTTCAAAAATCATGAGCTGCTAAAGCCATAAGCCAAATTTTCCAGGGTGAAAATTAGGCATTCTTAGAAGCTTCAAAAGGTCTTTTAAACCTGTTGGGCACCATTTTCATAATGAGGCCTCATCTTTTTTTTTGTTTTGTTTTGTTTTTGGTTAGAAAAAAGAGTCTTATCAATGCCTTTTGTTCTTACATCAGTCACATCAGTTACATTCCTCACCCCAGACCTGAACACTCCCCTGAAACTAAGAAAAACAATTCAGTAAAAACAAGAGTGACTGTATCTGACAATCCATGCCCTTCTTGTCCTCTGCTCGGCTAAGGGGAAGAGGGGAGGGAGAGGGGCTGACATTTCATTATCCCATCTCCAGTACAATTATTGCTTTTTCAATCATTAGAGTTTGTCTTCCTTTCAGTGATTTGTTCCTTTACGTTGCTGTAGTCATTGTATATATATTGTCCTTCTCTTTCTATTTTTTCTCTGACTACCTACAAATCTCCCACCGGCTCTCTGAATGCCTCTTCTTTGTCATTGGTGGCTACACAATAACAGGCCATTATATTCACATAATGCAGTTTGATGAAGCCTTGTGTTCCTAAGGGAATCCTCCCATCGGACAGAGTAGCCTTCATCAAGCATGACGTTTGTCCAGCCCCTGGGGGCAACAGTTACTGTAGTTGTCATCTGCCACTGCCAGGACCGCAGAACCACAAATGATCCCAAGCCTAGGGGAGCCAGAGGGAAGCCCGAGGCAGGAGAGAGCCTGCACCCGAAAGGACTCACATCCATTAAAGACCCCAAACCTCAGAGAGCCAGAACATTGGGCCTGGGGTTCAAATACCACCCCTGGCACTGACCAGCAATGTCACCAGGGCAAGTGCTTTCCTCTCTCCCCTCCCTCAGTCACCCACCACCCTAGTGAAGACCATCAGACAACAGGCTGTATTAAGTCTCACCCTACCCTACAACTGCTGGAATAATTTTCCTAAAGCACAGATCTGACAATAGCATTCCCCTATTCAATAACTCCAATGACTCTATTGACTTTAGAATCTAATATATACCACTAATGGCATATTTCATGCCTGGAATACACTGTTTCCTCAGATCTACCTTTTAGAACACCTACCTTCCTTCCAAGCTCAGACTACCTCCTATCTTAGGCTTTTCCTGATTCCCCCCAGCTTCTAGGATTGGCATCCTGTGGGCTTTTAAAGTCCTTCACAACCTAGCCCCAAATTTTCCAATCTTGTTCTAGCTTCATTACTCACTTTTCTGTACTCTGTGATGTTCCTTAATGTTCCACTTTCATGACACACCAGCTCCCATCTCTGTCTTTTTAAAAATTTTTATTTAGTATTTTATTTTTCCCCAGTTACACGTAAAACAATTTTTAACATTCGTTTTTAAAACTCTTTGAGTTCCAAATTCTCTCCCTTCCTCCCTTCCCATCCCCCCTCATTGAGAAGGCAAACAATTCAATATAGGTAATATATTGGTAATTTTATTAATAGTATATAGATAGTTTTCATGTGCAGTCACAAAAAACATTTCCATAATAGTCATGTTGTGAAAGAAAATGTAGAGCAAAAAAAAAACCCAAAAAACGAAAAAACCCCAAAAAACAAAACCCTCAAGAAAAATAAAGCAAAAGCAAAAAAAAAAAAAAGCATGCTTCAATCTGTATTCAGACACTATCAGTTCTTTTTTGGGGGACAGATAGCATTTTTCATCATGTCCTTCAGAGTTGTCTTGCATCTTTGTACTGAGAATAGCTAAGTCCTTGCATCTTTGTACTTAGCTGAGAATAGCTAAGTCCTTTACAATTGATCATCTTAAAATATACTGTGTACTTTGTACACAGTACATTTCACTTTGCCTCTGCTCATGCAAGTCTCTCCAGGCTTTTCCAAGAGCATTCCACTCATCATTTCCCATAGCACAATAGTATTCCATCACAATCACATACCACAATTTGTTCAGCCATTCCCCCCCATATCTGTCTTTGCACTAATTATCCCCGTGCTTAGAATGCACTCTCTCTTCACTTCTTCCCCTTCAAAGTCCTTGTTTCCTTCAAAACTTTGCTCAGATTCCTCATTCAACATGAAGCCTTTCCTGGTCCTCCCTCATCTACTAGTGCTTTTCTAAGTACCATGTCTATATCTCTATCTATGCCTGATGCGGTCTAGAGGTTAGGGGTCCTGGAATCCCAAAAGCACGACATGCAGGTCCTGCCCAAAAGAATTCGACCCAAGCCTTCTTGCAGCCAAAAACAAGGTTTATTGAAGATTTACCATATTAGCTGGACTCTTAAGGAATCTGAGCATCTATGAGCTATTGACTAGATATTAAGAATCAAAGCATCTTAATGGAGACAAGATGGACTTTATGTACAGAAAGATTGTGGGAGGGATCTAGGAGTGGCCAAGTAGTCCATGAGGTAACAGAATTACCCAGGGTGGGAAGTGGCCTGGGGCCATAGGGAGGCAAGACTATGAAGGGGAGATTGGGTGTAGCCACAGTAAAAGGCCAGTTGAGGGGATTATAGCCTCAGGCGAATGCCAGAAATTTGGCCATGTGGGAAAGTCCAGGGTTTTTCCTTTCTGGGGTCCAGATTCTAACCCCATCATGCCTATGCCTGTATCTATATCTATATATATATACATACACACATATTATATTATGTAATATTACATATGTATAAAATATGAGGTACTTAGGAAGAATATGTGTTATCCCAGTTCAATCATTTTCAGTTGTGTCCAACTCTCCATGACCCCATTCTGGGGTTCTTGGCAAAGATACTGGAGTGGTTTGCCATTTCCTACTCCAGCCCATTTTACAGATGAGGAAACTGAGACAAATACGGTTTAAGTGACTTGCTCAGGATCACACAGCTAGTAAATGTCTGAGGCCAGATTTGAACTCAAGTCTTCCTGACTCCAAGCATGGCACTATTTCCACTGTGCCACCTAGCTGCCCCATGTATATATGTATATCTTGTTGGGTTTTTTCTTCTCTCTTCTCTCTCTCTCTCTCTCTCACACACACACACACACACACACACAGGAATGTAAGCTCCTTAAGGAGTGAGTGTTTCATTTTTATCTTTGAATTGCCAGGCACATATGCAGTACTTAATAAATGCTTATTGATTTATTGATTCATCTTCCTTTGCCTCAGTCTGATCTACCTATCTCACAGGGTTGTTTCAAGGACAAACTAGGATATCATATTTAAAGTGTTTTGTATTTAATGCCTACTATTATTATTAGCTAGCACAAGGTTATGTACTCGAAATACACTTGCTAATGATTGCCATAGTATCATACTTCTTTAGCAAAATAAGGTGCTACTGGATACTTTTTTCTTTAGGGGTTTTTGTGATATTGATCACTTGGTTCTCTTCTTTTTTTAACTTTTAACTCTTCAAGTTAAGTGACTTGCCCAGGGTCACACAGCTAGTAAGTGTCTGAGGCTGGATTTGAATTCAGATTTTCCTGACTCTAGTTTAGGCTCCTATCTACTACACCACCTAGCGGCCCCATTGTGAATTATGCCTACCCAGTGTTTATTGCATCTGGTACCTTCTCTATATTCATACAGCCACTACCTTAGATCAAACTCTTACTTATCACCATTTGCCTGGACTACTGCAAATAATCTCCTACTTGGCCTCCATGCCTCCAACCAATCTTTATTTGATCCTCCACACAGTTGCCAAAGCAATATTCCTAAATCGTGGGTCTGACCTCGTCACTCAAAAAGCTCTAATGACTCTGTTGGGGATCAAATATAAACTTCTTTTTGGTTCCTATAGCTTTTCAATTACTGATTCCAAACAACGACTCTGGGGGCATTACATATCATTCGTCTTCATTCCAGGCAAATGGGCCCATTTGTTTTTTCTTGTGAACAACATCACGTCTCCTGTTTCCATGTCTTCCTGCTTTCCACACCTGGAATACGCTCCTTCCTCAGCTTTTCCTTTTAGAATGCTTAGCTTCCTTCAAAGCTCAG